CATTGGGTTTTTGCTGCTTTCTCTCTTATTTTTCCAAAATTAAAAGCATGTGAAAAAGGGGCCTTTCCAGTGTATCCTTTGGCTCTGAGCTTTGTTCATAGCAACAATTCAGAATGTGAAGATCTTGGCTGTGATCTTAAACAGATTCTCAGATTGCAAACAATTGGGGCAGGGGTGAGAAGGAAAACTTACTTACTTAAACAGAGAGAAAAGTTAAACAGGAATTCCCAGAGGACCTCAAGACACACACACCCACACACACCAGCTGTTACACTTTTCAGATACATAAGGTAAGAGATGATGCAATCTACTGTGCAGAAGATAAGTGGGGAAAGGTAAGTTTAAAGACAAAGGTGAGGTGGTTTCACCCATCTCAAAGACTGCTGAACATTACACAACTCCCACTACTAAAGCTGCCTCTCAGCAGCCTCTATTACCTTAATAGCAGACTCAGGATCATGCAGTTAAAGGGATTCTTGACAGAGTAACCTTACATCTGTCCTAAGATGCACCAGAAGCTGGTGAGACTCTTGTAGCCTTCAGTTCCAGCAGCCTCTTTTGAATGTTCAGGAATGGAGCATTTCCCAGAATCTCAGCATTGCTTACTCCTGTGCTAGTTAGAACTTCTGGAGCAGCTCTCCCTCTGCACAGTACTCTGGGCAAGGCAAGACAGCTCTTGGAACACAGCCATGCTCTGCAGCATGCCTCTCATAGTCCATCTTCATGAACTTGGGCAGGCCTGAGGTTTAGAGAGCCCCTTTTTCCTACCAGCCATAACAAAAACTACCAAAATTTGGTGTAGCATGAGGAAAATCATTGCCCATTTACTGTGCAGAAAAATCTGACTTCTGATCTGTGTTCAACCACACATCCCTTCAAATCTAAGAGAAACAAATAATGGAGTGTAGAATTTAAGAATGCACTCATCACCACTAACTTATTTTGATCCATAAATTCTGTATTTCTGGTTCTACATTAGCTAAAAGGATGCAATTCAGTCTGAGTATCTTATGAGTGATTTCAGTGATACTACACAGTCCATGCCTCTAAAAGGGAGGCCAACAGGGCAGAAGTCTTACTACGACTAAACTTCAGTTGTAAATGCTCCTTTCCTCTTAACAGCTCCTCTGTATAATAATTTTCATCCAACTTGAGGCAAGAATAGAACTTTATTTCAAAGAAACTCAATTCAGGGTCACTTTCAGTAATGACATGGCTTTAAATCCTGCTAATCTGACACATAAAATCATTGCTAAAAATCTCCCTTTTGTCTACCAGATATTCTTCAGCAATACTTACTCTAGCTGGCAGTATTCCTTCTCTATGACCCTGCCTGCCCAAAGTGCAGGTAACGCAAACAAGCTGTAAATCAGAAAGATTTATCAGTCAGAGCTCATTTCACCTCTCTCTGATTTGTAGCCAGATTTTCCAGTGGGGAGCCAGAGCATTTGGGCAATTCTGAGGACCAGGTAAAACATCCCTGAACCTCCTGTGGAGGATTTACAATTAAGAACCAATATTTTTTACCAGTGAAAATCTGACTCTTCTGGTAAGCAACAGGGCAAAGACCTTGCATCCTATCCTCACATCTTCTTGTCAGCTTTCAGGGATATTTAAATTTTACACATAATACTTGATTTTTAATATTTTTAGGGACTCCCCTACAAAAATGCAGATTGGCCTGGAACACCATAGTCTGAAATCCTCTCATACCTTTTTTTTTATAATAGAAGTCCTTCTGTTTAAGCATCTGCCCTCTGATTTTATAAATCAACTGATGAAGGTCACAGGCTTCCTACAGCTGAGTTCCAGTTTGTGTCAAGTACAGCAAAAGTGTCTCAGGGACTGCTGTGGCTGTTGTTACAATTACTGCAAGCTCTCTGCTCGCCTGTGGATGTTTAGCTTGTCTCCTGAGCAGTCAGCAAAGCCTCCTGTTATAAAGAGGGCAAACTAAATAACAAGGAAGTGAAGGACACTATAAAGGAGACTGAAAACAAGTTGCTTGGCACTGATTTTGACACCAATACTCCTGGAAGCAGAGGGTGGCCATAGTGCAAATGTAACAGCTTTGCCTTAACTTTCACTTTATGAAGCTGTTAGGTTTAGTTCATGTTTATAACAGACCCTGCAAAAGCTGATTCTCTTTATTGATTTGTATACACAAATATGTGCTTGCTTACACTAGGAGAGTTAATGCATAAGATTCTAAGCATTCAATTTCAGGACAGTGCTTTAATCTAAAAATCCAGATGAGATGAGTTTCCTTTTAATAAAACCTATACAATGGCAGTGATGTTCCTATTCTCTCATTCTTTTCACAATGTAGGTTTAGATCAGACTTTAAAAGCAGTTAGAGCACTCAGAATAAACACATCTATTTGTGTCCTGTGTTGCCTCTTCTTCATTTCTCTGTAGTAGTTATTCTTTTATCATGAATGGCTTATCAAATGTCAACTCCGTGTCTCTCCAGAAAATTAAAGGCTGTATATCATATAATAAACTACTCCACTGTCAGTTGGCATCATAAACTACAAGGAACCAGTTGTTCAGGATGTCACCCAGCCTCTGACCAGAGGCAAGATGAAAGCTGAACTCTGACCTGAAGGAGTGAATGAGAATACACTGTTTGTCACTGTCTAAAGAAAACGTGATCCGCCTCCACTGGCATCCAGACTTTCTAAATTTAGTTTCATGCTGAAGTCCTGAGATTAGTGAAACCTTTCAAAGAGGAGATGATAGTGCTTTGTGTTTTACCCAAGGACAAAGCTTAATCATGTTCCTCCTCCCTGGGGGACCTTACAGCACATTTCTGAAATAATAAAATTCTGGCTGTGTAAATTTGGACAGGAGACAGTCACTCAGATTTTTTGCTCATATAAATGGGATCAGCAACCTAAGCGCATCAGTTGAGGAATTCAGCCTGCTAAAATACAGCATCACAATATCTGGAAGTTTACCTTCAGATAATTATGGTGCTCTCTGTACGTGTTTTCAAACACTGACCTTCCATGCATACATTTCACACATTTCTTACAATGCAGGAGGAGCTGAAGTTATGAAAAACATTAGAGTCAGAACTGAAAGCCCGGTGGTGCTGCTGCTGCAAATGGCTGGCAATACCTGTCAGTCTGTGCTGGGCTCTGACATAATTTCCAAATGCCCTACCAAGAGGATGAAAATGCAGCATCTCCTCTAAACCAGCAATTCTTGGCAGCCTCTCTTCCCTGACCTTCTTCATTTTCCCTCCTCAGCACATGCTAGGAATTGGGCAGTGTGCTGCTCTCCACCCCAAATTTCACTGCCTTTCCAGAGGAAAGCCTGCAATTCATTCTACACCAAAGCTTGTCCACTTAGCACCTGCCTCTGATTTGTTTCTTGCACCTCCATCTCTGAAATGACAGGTGTTAACTTTTAGCTCTGAATCTGCTGCTGTAAAATGTTGAGCTCAAGTCAGAGATGGAAGTTTAATGTAGCTGTTGCATTTCCTCCCACACAGACAAGGTCTAAAGCAATGGTGAAACACCAAGGCTTAAGAATTCAGGAGCTTGATATTTATTCATCTGCCCCACCCCAGCTTGCATATGGGGCTTCAGCCCTCATCACTGAAGGTAAAAGGAAGTCTGAGCTCTCTTCAAAAACCCTGGACACACAGCTTTAGAGGGCATCTTCTCTGTGAGGCAGTCTATGCAGAGCTTCCCAAAGCTGACAAAAGAAATTTAATCAACTTTTTTCCTTCCCAATTATACCAAACAGCCCAGTGTTTACAGCTGAACCCAGAAACCAGGAAACATGTATATAAAAAATCTGAACTCCGTAAATTTTAAGGCATTAAGCCCATTATAACTGCCTATTAATGCTTTCTTCCCCTTCTCTCTTACTGCCTGCTGGAGGTGACCTTGAAGGAGTAGAGTTTCCAAATATCTAATGTTACCAACCAAACAAATGGCCCAAGGTCAGAGGCAAAGTCACTTCACTCTGAAATGGAGGTTAAAGAGTCCTGACTAAATTCTTTGAGCTGACCACCCAACCATGCTTCATTTCACATCCTTCTCAGTCATCATTATATGTTTCTTCAAGTGCAGCATAAAATTTGTTGCATTCAGTGCCTAGTTTTTATTCTCAGACCATATTGATCACTCCCCTGTCCCACAAAAGAAACCAAAAAAAGCAAAGGATATCTTCTTCCCCATAAGACATTAAGTACTTATATACCTTACTAATTTAAAGCAGATTTTTTTTTTTTAATCACAGCAATAGAAGATGATCTTGCCAGATTTAAGTTTGTGTTTGGGAATCAAAAATTAGTTTGGTGAACTCTTAAAAGATATTTCTGATAGAAAAAGCCATTGCAGTGATATGACACTGTATGTAAGAAACTACTTCGTTGCCTAGCAATACCCAGCTGCTTCACCATTAAGGTTTTAAATGTCATTTCTCTCTGTTTGACAAGCTCAGCAAAATCCACAAGCAACAAAACTGAGTCAGTTCAAAGTGACTTACACTGTGAAGTGTCTCTAGTTTCCCACATATCTGCAGAATTACAATATTTTTCTTTCCTTGCAGTTTTAATCACAACACTAAACTGTTCTATAAAAAACAAACAACAACAAATATACAAAAAATTAGATTATGTGCTTCACAGCTTATTGTAATGCAATTGCACCTAGGTGACAGGAGCTGATATTCCCTCTGGTAATAATTTAACCATAATAGGGAAATAATGTGTGTATATTTACTTTAATGATGTGGACACAGCACACACCTCCAGTGCAAGCTCAAAAGACCAAGAGCTTTCCATCTCCCCGTTTTCACCCTGATATCCTACTCCTCATACCAGCACTGTCCTATTATTTTATACCTCTTTACTTCCATACCCTTTAATGCTGCAAACCAGACTTAGACCATTGCTGTAATCTTATGTCAACAGAGACATACACTATCCATAAATGCTCTGTGCTAGCCTTTAGCCTATCGAGAATAGCTAGAAAACCACTCCAGGTAACCCAGAACACAATTCCAGAGGGCTTCACTGCCAAGTCTGGAAAACAGAAAAATGTCATTCAAGAGTATTAAAAAAGAAACAGTTGAAATTTCTTTTGCTTCTAGTTTGAGTCTTACCAGACTGTGCCCTAGAGCAGCAGGTCACAGTGAGAGCTTCATTCATTGGTATTCAAAAGCCACCAAGGAAGACCCTTTGTTTCTGGCCTTTATAAACATACAACAGAAAGGGAAAGAGATGCCAGTGTTGGGAACCTGCTTCCTGCTTGCCAGCAGGAGAGAAACAAACTTACCCCACTATTTTCTTAGCCCTCATTCCAGAGGTATCACAGCAGGTTAAACGCTGCTCTTGAAATTCCCTGGTCTTGGTGTTCCCCTAATATCCTGTGGCCAACAGAAAGAAGGTGGCATTAAAGGGTGGTAGGTAAGACTCATCTTCATTAAATGCAAAGCCAGCAGTTAGAGATAATGAGGCACCAAACAGCAGTAATTAGAAATAATAACAAGCACCTTATTTCTACCTTTGCTGTGTCTTTAGCCACAATCATCTCCTGTGGGGTGAATTGAGAACAAGCAGCTGCGGGGCTGGGACTGGGGATTTAACAGTAAGGCCAGTAAAGCAAATACTGTAAGTTTTATGGACCTCTTCCCTCACATTTGTAGAAAGCAACCAAATGATCTATTTATTGATAAATCAGACACAGCTGTGGGAAGACCCCTGGCAGCCAGAATCCCACAGCTTGCTTTTGCAGAGATTCCAGGGACACCTCACAGCTCCCTTAAGATCTAATTTTTGTTCCAGCTGGTTCCTTAAGGCCAGGTCTTCAGCACACATAAATCATCCCAAGCTCCAGTGAATTCCTTGTAAAACCACCTTCAACAGAGAAATGGCCTCTTTTACCTCTCCTTGCAATCCCAAATGTTTGTTTCCTTTTCACCCAGCACTTGTGCTGCTGCATGCTAATGCCACGAGAGATGATTCATTCCCAATCAACCATCTCCAGAATAATTAGCATGAGCATCTAACCTTCACTCCCCCTGCTTTTTCAGGTACTACACATCCTCTGCTATCCACAGATACTGGGATACTGTGTGGAGTATTTCAGCTGTATCCCAGCTGTAATTATTTTCTCAAGTATTCAAGGCATTTTGAAGAATCACAACCACCCCTTAGTGTTCTGATGGAAATGAAGTTGTTATTTTTCTATGTAATTATTTCATCATATTTATTACTTAAACCATCTCTAAGAACAAAAGCTACACAGCAAAAGCAAAGCTTCATTTCACCAGGTGCTCTCCTGACAGTTTGAGGAAAGCTATTTAGGAAAAAATAAGGCAGAAAAAAAAAACCCTTTTCTTTTAACATCACTGCTCTGACAACCACAAAAGGCTGCCTGACATTCTTGATAGCTCTATTTATGATGTTACATTATCCTGCAACTGTGAGGAATGCTGTTTCTACTAACCAGGCTTAGGTCTAAATAGAGCTGTGAAACAAACTCTCTCTTTCCAGCCGTGTGACCTCCTGGAGAGAGAACAAAAAGGGCATCAGAAGCTACTGAATGGTTGCAAAAGATGGAAAGAGTTTGTGTCCCACTTGGTCCCCCACCTGGGGCCCAGTGTGTCTCAGACTGAGACGTTTCCCTGGTGGGGACACAGCAAATCTATCACCCAGCTGTGAACAACTGCAACATACACCACATGAAGAAAGCAATTTCAGCAGCTTGGATCCTTCTTTTATATAACTTCAAGCAGAGGAGGTCTTGGACATCCGTGGTGGATTGTGGCCTCTTGGAACTTTAAGACAGAAAAAGGCAGTAGATTCCAGAACAGGAGAATCAGAGCCTGTAAAAACCCCAGGTGGCCAGCTATCTGCAGTTACCAGATTTGCTCTTTCTTTTAGGCTTTTTCCCCCACTCATACCCCTATCAAATCACAAAATCATGCACAGAAACTTTAGAAGGAGGTTCAGTTTTTCTCAGTGCCCACATTCACACATGTTTCTTAACTTCTCAAAAAATACAGATGCAGCTGGATGGAGTTCCATCCTACAAACAGTACAGTCATATTTGGTGTTCATGAAGGAATTGTTATAAATAAAATATTTACAAATGACATCACAACCATTATCACCATTTTACAGATGGAACAAATGAGCTAAAGGACATCCTTATAATCAGGGGAGCTGGAACCAGATATTCAATGCTCCTGCTTGATCATGTTGCCAAATGAATCCCAGCAGAGAGAACTTTTTGTTAGTCTCTAGGGTATAAGAAGTTGTGTTAGGAAATAAGCTGGATAAACAGAGCAAGTGAAAAGGACTACAATTTTAAATTCTCTAACTTTAAGGACTGTGAACTGGGCTTTTTGGCCACAATCTTTAACTGATTTTAATCAATTTGCTAGGGTATTTAGCCCAACCTCTTGACAGAAAATATACAGAATAGAATTAGTGTGATTGTGCTCTCTCTTCCCTCAAATGTTCTTTGAGTTTGCTTGTTAATTTAAACAAAATATAGGAAAGGCGTGGAAATTTCTATATTCCCGTAGATCTAAAGACTGGTCCCAGATAGGGCAGAGCTGGAACCGGATTAGTCCTGTGACTCAAAGACCTGACAGATATGGCAGCAGACAGAACTTAGAGAAATATTTTTAAATCTATTTTTGATGTTCATTTGTTCATTTATCTTAATTTCCTGTTGTCACTGTAGGCATGAGTTTGCCTTTCAGACTACTGGACAATTTGAACACTGAGAACCTGTCCAAAAGCACAGCAGGTTCTCAGTTCAGAGCTGTTTCCAAGTACACTGAAATCCATGTAGATGCGTAGCAGTAAAAATAACAGCTTTTAACAGCTATTAACAGGGTTTCTGGTCGATTGTTATTCTTATTAAACAACTAGTTCATCAAATTAAAATAATTAATTGATCGCATCAGAAATTTCCAAATAAATGAACTTTTAAAACTTTTACTGTTTGGTAGTTAGAAGACAGCTTACTGCCAAATTTTCACAATTTTTATTCCATTACATTCAGAACTTCAGTGACCGAGCCTCCAGTGTATTATAAACACTTGGTATTAATTAGACTAAGAATTTCCAAAATGATCCCAGCAACCAGCTGTGTCCTGGGCTGTATCACCAGCAGTGTGGCCAGCAGGGCAAGGGAGGGGATTCTCCCCCTGCTCTCCCCTTGTGAGGCCCCACCTGCTTTGCTGCACCCCAACATAGCAAGGACTGCTCTGGATCTGTTGGAGCAGCTCCAGAGGCCACAAAGATCACCAAAACACCACAAAGATCACAAAAAGACCACAAAAATCAGAGAGCTGAGGCACCTCTGCAATGGAGCAATGCTGAGAGGATGGTGCTGTTCAGCCTGGAGAGGAGAAGGCCCCAGAGGCCTTAGAGCAGCTCCCAGTACCCAGAGGGTTCTGCAGGAGGGGAGAGGACTCCTGCCAAGGGCAGGACAAGAGAGAACAGATCCACACTGACAGAGAATGGGTTTAGATTAGACAAAAGGAAGAAATCCTTCACTGTGAGCATGGTTAGCCCTGGCACAGGCTGCCCAGAGCAGCTGTGGCTGCCCCATCCCTGGAAGTGTCCAGAGCCAGGTTGTCTGGGGCTTGGAGCAACCTGGGATGGTGGAAGATGTCGCTGCACATGAAAATGGGGCTGGAACAAGGTGATGTTTAAGCTCCCTTCCAACCCAAACCATTTTACAATTCTGTGATTTCTGTGGAAATCTTGTGAAGCAGCAAAGTTTTCAGTTTCAAAAGCCAAAGGCACTCAGTCTAATACCACCATCTGGGGCTGCGGCTGTGGGCTCTGCTGTATTTTGCAATACTGATACAGGGAAGATGTTTGCTGTTTAGACAGTTGAGATCTCTCAGCAGTTCTGAAAACAAGGTGAAAAGTGGACTACAGATGCAATGGCGTGTTCACACACTGAGAGGTAAAAACGTGGTTTGCAGAAAGCACATTTTGCTGGCTCTTTCTTCTGGAGTGAAGTCACAGACATTCTCTTTGTCTGGTGACTGCTCTTCCAGAGGAAGTGCCAGAAAATGAGTTGTTCACTGACATCTCAGCTATGCCAGACAAAGAGCTTGAAAATTCACACCAAGAATTGATCCCCTATTGACAAGGGAATGAAGGGAATTGATAATAATGGGGTAGATTCTGTTCATTCTTATTTTGGATTAACACCAGTGTTGCTGAGATAAAAATATGACCCCGAGGGCCATTTCAATCTCTCCTTCTCATGATCCATTTTCTTGCAACAGAGCCATAAGGTTATGAATACAGTGACATGTGTGAAAGAGGAGCTCCTAGAGACAATGAAGAAAGTTCTTATTCAAACACATGGGTCTTCACTGAAAACAGACAAGGAGAAATTACTGTCAAGCTATTTGCTTTATAATGTGCTCCATTGTCTCTCAGAAATAAAGACTCCACTTTTCCACACTTGCATGTGCAATTTAGCCATTATCATATTGTACTTGCTGGAATGTCAATTTAAGAATCTAAATTTCTTATTTTGCAATTTTATTTTTTTTTTTAATCACAGAGAAACAAAATTTCTGTCTCTTGTTCAGTTTCTCTTTCTCTTTTATTTCCAATTGTTCAATTTCACCATAACTCCAGTTTTTTGTCTCAGTCCCTGGAAATTCTCTGCTCCTGAAGATTATCTTGTCCTGCCATCTAGCGAGCCCTGTGCAGGATAACAAGTTTCTCACTGAGCCTAGAGACATCTGAAGAGCTGAAAACCAGGGTTGGGGGCTTGAAAATCTTTTTCTCTTATATGCATATGTTCTTTCACAAAACCTACAGATAAAAAGCTCCATCATGGTGCAGATTAATGTATCTTTTCCCTAAACAGCTAAACCTATTATTGCAATTCACTGTTTGGTTTAACAGGTTCCATTTCACAATAGGCAGTAGTTTAAGCATTACCTGTTTTGATGCAGACACAAGTGTCTCCTTTCAATAGAAATGTTCCTGGGATGGGGACTTGGGGAGAAAGATTCTGTTGTGCCAAGGTAATGAAACTGTCAGGATGATGTTTGGGTAGGTACCAGGCTGCATCGATATTAACAAGAAAAGCTTTCCTTGTTCGAGGATAAAAAAATATTTCCTGCAACCAGCTGAACCTCTCTTTGGTTAATAAATCAGATTTCAGTCTCATTTGGACTGGGTGGCCACTGGTTTTCCTGTTAGATGACTTTGCTATATACACAACCCACTAATAAGTATTTCTTAATAAGCTTACTGTCAGATCCAAAGCCCACTGCAGTCAATGAAAAGACTTTCAATGGCTTTAAACTGGCTTTAGTCCAAGCCCTTATTCACTAAAGAATCCTTAATTGAAAATTAAAAGATGCAAGTGAAAAAAAACAATCAGGCCTGAA